ATCGTCATCATATGTCCCTCCGAACAGTTCTTCATTAATTTCGTTCAGTACGAGTGATAATTCGATCAATTTTCGTGCACTGATCACTAATGTTTTTGTCAGAAATCATTTCGTAATTCTAATAATTGAATTGATAAAGAGTTAATTCAATGCATTGTGTTTCCAGTCCAGATACATACAACTGATTATTGCGCAAATATGGGGATAACAGCTTGTTAGGATAGCATATCAGCCGAAACCTTTAACAACCACAAATGACACAACTTTTGGCTACAAGTTTGCAGATGAACTTCTTTACGAATTTGGAAGGGGGCATAGCATCCAACTGGACCGATAAGTCTCGGCAAGAGTGCTTGATTGAGGCCTTTCATTGAAAATTGCCATTTGACAGTGAGCAGTGAGCATTCTAGTGTTCAGATATACGGTAATCGCTCGGTGATTTTGAAAAGTAACGTAAAGAACCCTAGCACGCGTTTTCGCATGTAATGAACTAGATTCCTCTGTTGAAGGATTAAGATGCTCTACTGGGAAGGCCCGTAAACATAGGTCCGTTCCTCGTGATGGCCTTTCTGCAACTCTTTCATTTCACTTCGAAACTGCACAAATATCACAAATCGAAATCCATCTGATAGGCGCACTCGTTCAATTGCTCTTATGATCAGTCAGAAATGTGTTGACAGGGCGAGTGGCAAATCATCCACTGATGATCATCGTTCATAATATCCACTTTTCATCGTTTGTTAAGTATGTTTAAATTGTCGATTGCTAACTGAGGGTTATTTATCGGTTTGCGTTCAATAAACGAACGGATATAAGATGTCCGTTGATCTGTTGAGGAAATCGTTAAGTTTTATTGAAGAAGGTAGGTGTGCCATGCATTTATCCATTTTGCTGCATGAGAATTCATTCGTTGTATGTGTTTAAATGGGCTTGAAATACAACTGCTCTAAGCTTACATTACTGCTCGGTGATCTTTTCTTTCAATTTATTTTTCTGTTACTGATTGAATTGAGGGTTCTCACAAAATTTTCCAGTTCTTTGAAGGAAACCGAGAAAAAGTGACACCATCTCTGATTTATCAGAATCTCTGGTTTTCAAGTGCAAAATTTTCGTTTGAATAATTTATTCAAAGCCGTAGGCTGAGTTCAAGGTTACAGTCAGTCCACTAGACGCCTAATGCATTTTTTTTTCGGATTCATTCGAATCCCACGGTGTCATTTCAACCTGATTCTTTACTTTAGAGGATGGCATTTCGGCGAGTAAAAAGCTGAAAAGAGTATCTCGGATATCACCAGAAATGCGAGAACGACAACGTATCAGGGCATTAGCTGGTCATCTGGAATTCGACTGTGATAGAGGTGATTTCGTTGAAGCCACGAATGCGAAACATTCAAATTCGATCAAGAATGAATGGACTCCCAAACCGGTGAGCATTCTGATGTGTTGTTTCGGCAATCTCAAATATAATTGAAATTGGAAGTGATGTGCTAATCCTATTAAACTATTTTTCGTGACCGTACATCGAGCTGAGGGAGTGTGAAAAAGTCACTTCGAAAGGGAATTTCTAACTACCCTTTCTTTATCACCTCGTCGAATTTAATTCAAAAAGTGAATGAGATCTGTCGATGACTCGGCAGTTTGGATGATTTTTTTTGAGTGCCAGAGAAAGTTCTTCGAACCTCGATTCTCCACTGATACATTAGCGCCGTTATATCAACGAAAATTTTTGCTCGAAGTTTCGACGGCTGAAATGAATGAAATTAGTGCAACAAGGAATAGGAATGTGAACTTGAAGGGTGTTTCTTTGGTGGAACAGCATCGTTCCAAAAAGCGTGTGAATTTGTTGAAGCGAAACATCAAGTATATGGTTTATACGAACGAAAAGAAACTGGATACAAACCGAGTGGATACTATGATTTCGATGATGAGTCGACGAGAGCGTGATATGAAACAGATTCGTCGAGAATTGCTGAAAGAAAATGGTACTGTGATTGTTTTTTTGTGTGTTAGTGTTTATTTTGAGTAGGTCTTGATGTTTAGCTGAACCATCTGTCTAATTGCAGAATATTTTGAAGTCTTTTTAGCTGTTATTCAGTTTGTGATTTTAGTGCTAGGCGAACTGTATTGCTATTAAAACGCGGTGAATAACAACTTTCATTTGAATCTGTGCGGCTGCTTCTGTGATCCTCCTCATACATGGTATCATTGAGCAACTGTATGAAGTCGAGTGCAATTACAGTTTTCATTCAGATGGTGTTCGAGAACCGGATCCGTTCAAACAAAAGAAAGAGGTATCTGAGTCGGTATTTACGGACGATGATTTCATGAAGATTGCACCTGATCGAGCTAAGGTGAACAGTCGTATTACTGAATTAATTTTGGTTGCTTTTGGCATAATGCAGTTTGCGTTATTCCACGTATTATGAGGTATATCATCACTAAGAAATGTGGGTTGATGAACATAGATGAGTATTTTGTGGCATGTGGATAATTTATTGTTTGTAGTTCTTGAGGATTGTGTCGACATCAGTTTTGNGGACTGAATCTGATCGAATTTGATTCCCAATATCTTAATTTACCCGAGTTTTCTCGCGAGTTATATCCAATTTTTACTCGAATTCCTTTAGAAGCTGACGAGATTTCTTCCTCTCAGTCGAGTGTTCGTGTTGTTTTTCGACTATCATATTATTTCTTGTCATTAAGACGAATTGATTTCAGCTACTACGGAGGAAGGTGAATCCCACAAAACGAAGGCGGATAGAGCCGTAACTTTTATTAATCATTACTTTTGATATTGAGGACAGTGGAAGTTGCTGTTATTGTTTTTGTTTCTGTCCTCATTTGTAATAATTTCTTTTCGTTTGATTATTTAAAGTCGACGTTATATTCCATTCCACGTGGTGTTTTTGTTCATCCTTACAGTTAGTGAAAATATCAAGAATGTTTTTGAGTAACAGCGCAGATAATAGACGTCATGACTGTGATGAGGGCACCAAAAATTGTTCTCTGATCAGCGCATTTTGAATCGTTGACAATTTGTGTAGTGAAATTTTGCTGAAATAGTACCCAAACATTGCTATATCAATGCTACATTATAGTGTTTCCTGACCGTGTTCATTAAAGAATGTTTATTGAAGAAGAATAAAATACATTGATATCATTGTCTGATTCACTGATGTGCACGTGACCAGTTTGACAGAAACAAAAACACTTTTTGTTTCAGTCCTCATTCGCTCTACCACTCTATTTTTTGGTCATTAAAATGATTCAGACTCTGTGGAAAAAGTATATGTCATTCCATTCGTTCTATCAATCTATTTTTTGGTCATTTAAAATGAGTCAGACTCAGTGAAAAAAGTGTTGAAGATGGAAACAAAAACACTTTTCTCACTGAGTCTGATTCATTTTTAGTGACCAAAAAATAGAGTGATAGAGCAAATGGAATGTTCGTTCGTTTTAACATGAGAAAATTGAGCATTTTGATGACTGCTGACATCAGTGTCATTTGGCTGAGGGCTTAATGGGAGATGTTTTACAGAGAGCATTCAGCGAAAAATTCGTTCTACTGTATTTCAATATCTACAGATTAGGAATTTTCACAATGAAAGTGAGTGGAGGTACCACATTAAAGGTATTTTTTATTATCATGGAGAAAAAATTCGAAAGGAATGGTTTGGTATCACGATTGTGCTGGTCTGTGTGATTGCTGTTCACCGAAAGTTCTCAATTGCTTCGTAGCAGTTGAACTAACACTGGGTTTTTGTTCGTATGAATTAAGAAATCACATTCATTTGCATTGTATCAGAAGAAAATCGTTAGGTAGATGTGCACTTGACACTATGAAACATTTTCATTCACGAGTTCTTCATAATCAGCTTCTAATTTAAGTTAGCAGTTGATTACGGCAGTCTAGTTGATCTTATCTCTTTCTGTTCAGAATGCACCGTCCGTATTCCGCTTTAATTGTGCCGGTTGCATTTATCATTGAAATTATCTGAACAAGGCCCGCTGAACTGAAAATATTTCGCCGACCAAATTTCAATAAAAGATGATTTGACATCAGATAAGGTAATTTCGCGGGCCCCAAAAAACCATTATTCAAAATAATGAATCTTATTTCTCTCTGATGGCGCAGGTTATAGATTTTTCATGATGATCGCCTCGTGGACAAAACTGTTTTTTCACAGTTCTCAAAGAAACCTGTAAACTGGTCTGATACAATAGCCGGATTATTGCCTGCAATTCAAGTTAGCAGCAGCACTTTCTTTTGAACATTTGTGTTTGAACTTAGTCGAAAAACAATCAAAGAACTCAACTGTGAACTCTGAAGTGAGTGTAAAAGAGAGTTATAAAGATCTAAACTATCATCAGTGCATCTCCTCACCAAGCATCTCGCTTTCAAATAGAAACCCATTCTATTGGCCATTTCTAAAATTCGAACCTTTATTCCTAGTCAGTCACAATCTACAGCCACTGAATAATGTTATGCTTTTGTAAGCTATGCAGCCACTGAATAAGAAGTAATGTTATGAATAATGCTGCTATAATGATAGTCTGACCAAGTCGACTAGTTGATGCGATAAGAGAAGAAGCATGACAAATTGAGTAGAAAGAGACAGCAAAGTTTCTTAATCAACAAAATCTCAAAAAAGTAGCAATAGTTGATGCCACAAAATAATATTTTATAATGATAGTCTAAACAAATGACTGAATATGCAGCCGTCATCGTTTAAATGAAAAACTTGCATGATAACAGCAAACATTAATTTATCATCACTATGTTGATAATCTGTTCTTTTGATGAACTTAAGCATCATTTCAGACTGTTTCGCATTTACAATCAATCGCTTCTTAATAATTAAGAATGATCGTGCAGTCGTTTCAAATGCATGATTGGTGGTTTTATTGCAATTGATAATATTTTTAAGTACTTATTCCTGAGAACAGAAACTTTTAATCTAGGATGCTGATGGTAACAAAGGGTATTCCGGCATAATGCTATGC